TGTCCTACTTAGGAGAATAAACTTTTTATGCACTTTGTGCACATCCACTTACATACAAATAATTGATATGCTAATTACAAATGATTCTTAAAGCCCCTTTCCTGAGGTGTTGTACTATGCCGTTAGTCTATTTTGAATTACTAGTGAGTCCAATGCTTGAAAGTAATAAAAATTCATTTAAAAATATTCCATGGCCAAACTGGCTTTCCTCTAATTAGGCTGAGTTAGTGAGGCGTGCCTATATTTAAATAGGATAGATAGTTTTTGACCTCACCCCTCATACATTTAAGATACCCCTTCCCTTACCCCATTCCCCATCCCTCCCCTTATCCTCAGGATTCTCCTGTAAGCAGCTGGCACACACAAACCCCTTCATCTCTAGCTCACTACTTAACTGCACTTGCATCATCTATAGGCAAATACTGCTTTTCATTCCTGTCTCGTTTGTTAACTTGTTAGCTAGTTATTTGATAGGGTTTTTGTGCAGAATTATTTTCTTTAGTTGTTCTTAAATACCAGTGGATATGGCTCATTCCTGATCGCATAATGGGTAACAGTGCACATAGACAAAAGTCCAGCCAAACTTAGCATCAGGCTTTTTCATCAGGTGCTGGATTCCGGCTTTAACTAAACCTCTGTCTGGTCCATGTCAACAGAGCACAGCGAGGCAGCTCATCAGTCCTGGCAGCTGCTAGGTGTATGGCAGCGTGAGGCATAGTCTGTTAAAAGCCATAACATATTATAGCACAGCCTAAACAGTAGTTTTTCTGGGCTGGACTGAAGGGACAGGAGCAGTAACAAAAGACTACGGGAGGAGGAGGATTGGGGTGGGAGTAAGAGGTGCATGGTGCAGAAAAAACAGCTGAGATGAGCAGTATGAATTTTGGTGTTATACTGAGCACAGACATAGGCATGTTTGGGATTCTTTTCGGGGCAGTCCTACGTTAAAGGGTGTGATTATCAAGCTGTCCATGCAGGACAAGGTCTTCCTGCCTCTGGAGAGTTGCAGAGCATGTTCTAGCATTGGAACCTATTAAACTGCTGCCAAAGGATCGGGCCACGTTCACCAGGGGTAGGGATCAGTCAGCACTAAGAAGAGAGAGGGGAGAATTCACGTCAGAGTAACAGAATGAACCCACAGAATCTCAGAACATTGGCCTTCTTGACTTAAACGAAAAAATATCTACCAGGAAGACTTTGGTTTTTGGCTTGGCAGGAGTGGAGTGGGGTGGGCTGGACTGTCATAGTGCCAGGGTTACTTTGGTCAGTTCAGGAACTGGTAATGAAAGACACCAGATGAGAGGGGAAGGAGGAGAAAATAGGCATTGTCCCTCTAACCACCTGGATTTTAAACCCTAAGGATTAGGTGAGGGAAAATACCCTACACTCACTGCAACCCTACACAAGTCCTAAGGACAGGCAGGGTAAGCTCACTGACTGAGAGCTCAGGACAGTTCAGATAATGAAGCACAGCCTCGCTCTCACCAAATTCTCCTACCTTCTGAGGCTCTCAATGCCTTTCGAATTTAGTATTTTAAAAGACACATCAAACTAGGAAGAATAAATGAATGGCCCACCTTGGCCTCATTTCCACCTGTGGCTAACATTAATGGCGAATTTCATTAGTATCTGAGTCATCTATTTTCCAGAAACAATAGGCAATTTTACATCTGAGGCAGGATAGAAGTTTATCAACTGGAACAAAAACATGTCATATAAGTACCTTACTGACAGAGGGCTAAATTCCAGATGCAAGGTTTACAAAATGAACTGGTAGCTTCAGTTACCTTTATCCCCCAGCCAAAATGAGTTAGTGGTTATGGAGGAGATATAGCTGTGACCCAGCTGAAGGAGGTAGGATAACTGTGGAAAGAGTTTCTGCCAGTTCTGATTGTAATGAAAATGGGGATGAAGATGGAAGTAAGGCTACGTAATTTTTTGTTCTCAAATGCAGATTTCTAGAGCTCATCCCTTCTCATCAAATGAAAGAGAATTTTCAAGAACTGCATTGCTTAATTTGATGAATATATGTGTGCATGCACTGCTTTTGTCACATTATGAAGCCCAAAGGAGTAAACTATAATTGTTGGGTTCTCTTTCACTGAGGATATACCTGCTTCTAAAATTGAATGATAAGGAGAGTCTGGAGTCCCAAGTGAAAGATAATTTCTAGATGACTTATCATTATAATAAAAGAAAAGCCTATCATCATTAAAATATCTCTTCTTTAAATATTAACATTAAAAGTCAATAGTGAAAGATAACATTTCCCTTAAATGTCCTTTAGTGATGTCCCTTGGTTCTCATTTTATTCAACTGGTCATTAGTTGAACAGTTTACAGCATGGTTGAAGAAGCTCTACCTTACACGCACATTCGGTCTTCTGACAGGATCAAGAGATGGTATAAAACTTGCCTATATTTGGAAAAATGCATAGAGTTAAAATCTTTAGCAGTACGAGTCTTAAAAAGCCACATGAGAAGGGTGTAATTCTCCCAGAAGATCTATATAATATGATATGTGACACTATTCACGTTCCTAAGTAGGAAGTCTGGATTTTCTCCATTGAAAATGAAGGGAAAAGAGGATTTACAGAATCTCCAGGTTTCCAAACTTTAATTAGGAATTCAAAACCTAAGGAGTAAATTCTGTCAATATTTGTTCTTGTTTTTTGTCCGTAAAATTACAAATTAAATCTTGATGATTAAGAGATTTTTTGGCAAAAATCTAAGTTGCATTTTCACAATCACACGCGATAGATTGGTATGCTATAGATTATGTGGTTCTTTTGCATAAAGCTAAACGGTTTCTTTTATAAAGGGGTTTTCTACAATCCAGAGATAAAACTTGCCAAGAAACCTTAGTTATGGTACTTTTTCCTTATTTGTAACAATTAAATTTCATACTTCCATGTGATACTTTGAGGACAATATAGCCAATTGTTCCAAAGCTGACAGACATAGGTCCAGACTCTGGCTTCACCACTTACTAGTCCATCCTTTCTCTACTTTTCTTACTTGTAGAATGAGAATAATTACACCTACTATTTAGCGTGTAGATTGTTATAAAGATCAAACAATGCAATGTAAAATTTCAGTGCAAGGCCTGGCCTGGGTACGCGCTCTCTAGATGCTAAGCTCCATGGTGCAAGGACCTTATCTGTCTTATTTACCACCACCAGTGCCTAATGCAGTATATGTCATAGAGTAGATGATACATTTTTGCAGAATGAATGAATGAATAAATAAATAAGTTTCTTTAAAGATACACACATACCCTGAATAGGAATGCATGTCAAATGTTAAGTCCAGCACCAGGCACACAGTAAACTATGTGGCCTAGGAGCCCCTCTCCTCCCCCTCCTCCTTTTTCTTGTTAATTAATGTTTTCAAAACCATATAAAGTGACTTGAGCTGCTCATTTCCTCTGTAGGAAGATCAGAGTGGTTTTAGAGAGAATTTTGGCCCCAGACCCACAGGAACTGATCCTATGCTTAAAATACCACTGACTTGTATTTCAGAGGTGATATCACAAATCTGAATTTCTTCATTCAGACTCTACGTGTGTCATGCCAATTCACAGTGGGCAAGTAGTTGGGTCATCCCATAGAATAAGGGTTCAGAGTGGTGCCCTAATATTTATCAAAATCTCTCAAACCACCAGCAGGAAAGTGCTTGTTATTCACCTTTTCTCTTATAATCCTTGACTATAAATACTCCCAAAGTCATCTACACAGCATATTAGGTAATTGAAACATTATTAAGACAATCTTGCATTTTGTTCATATACAGTAAGACAGTAAACAGGTTAAACATAGGCGGAGCAGTATGTCTTTCTTTATCTATCTAACTGTTCATTCATTCATTCATTCATTTAGCAGTGGTGGGGTAGAACCCAGGGCCTTGCACATGCTAGGCAAGTGCTCTACCACTGTATCACTATTTTCTGTTTTAGGATAAAGCTTGGGAATTGGTAAACCTCCCTTTGGCTGAATAGCCTCCTTCCCCCACCAAACTTTGTATGTGTATGTGTACGTGTCTATGGGGATTCTGGGTTGGGGGTAAGGTGAGGTTGTCAGGCTTTTACTTAAATCAATATTACAATATACCTCTACCATCTCTTTAGTGGCCCTAAGCTTCCATTTGAAGGAGGGGGTGTGCTTACAAGAATAATGTTGGTATTCCTTTATGCTAGGTAAAACAGGTATCTACTTGTAATACCAAGTCTACTTAATCATTCCTATGGAAATTAAGGGAAGCTTGTGGTAACCATTGATGCTTGGCCTTAGTATTGAATGACCTAGGGAGATCTAATTGTGAAATTGTCATTTATATAAACTGGAACTCAAGGCTTTTGGTGGTATTAGAAAATGTTCATGTAAAGCTTCCACATCCAGTCTATTATAAAAAGAATCTGTAAACTGATTAAAAAAAAAAAACCAAAACTCAGGGGTTTCGTTCCATGTTAAGATGAAACCATTAAATTCTTTCCCAACTCGCTAGCAAAGAAAGGCTACAGCAAAGGAAAAAGCCATCTTGTTTAAAAAGGAAGCAAGAAAAGAAGGAAGGGAGGGGGAATGGAAGAAGGAGGGAAGAAAAAAAAGAAGAAAAGAACTAGAAAGAGGAAAGAAAGAAAGGAAGGAAAAATAGTTTAAGTAAATCCCACAGGGAAAGGCAGCTCAGAAACAAACTGGAAATTAGGAGACAAACAAAAATATGAGCACCACATAAGTGAACCAGCTGACAACTCACTAGTGAGTGATCACTAAGTAGGAGTGAGCAAGAGAACCAATGGGATCATACAACAAAAAAGACGAAAAGAAGTTAGCAGATATTTGGATGACTTTTATGAATGAATAAGGCATTCCTATGTCTAATGTATCTTTTGAGGTCAGCACATGGGTCAGAGGTAATACTGGCAAATGTGCACGAGTCTCTAGTTCCAAGCCTCACTAGAAATAGTCAAAGGATAATTACTGGGACCAAGAGACATAGTTACCAGGACTGGCAAAACTGGTTAGTTGGCAAGGATTATTTTGTCTTATTTGTATCACTTTCATCCTAGTACTCCACATCACCACCCAGTGCCTGTTCTTCTGTATGCCAGGGAGCCCATACTCTAGCCCTTTCCAAAATGCTGCCTGGGAAACGATACATCTATGGCTAAGTTGGGTGAGGAGGAGAGGTCATGTCAAAATTTCATTTCAGGCCTATTTCTAATTATAGGATAAAAGTCACTTTCCTGTTAAAGGAATTTTAGGTAAAAGCCCAACAGATGCAAAGGGATGTCTGGTCCAGGAAGCCTTCCTGGCACCCCTGAATAAGAGTGCTGCCTTCACATAAATGCCCTGAGCACACTTGACTTCTGAAGGAAATCAAAGGAAACAATTACTGTGTCTCTAATGAAAAGCCGGACCCTGTTACTCTGCATGATCACTGTGTGCATTGCCGATGTGGCTCCATGAACAAAAGAGCCCTGGCACCTATAAAATGAGGAGTGTCTGCTTCTTTAGTAGGCAGGTTGGAAGAATATTTTATTTATTTTGTTTGTAGTACTGAGGATTGAACTCAGGGCCTTGTGTTTACGGGGCAGGCCCTCTATCACTGGAGCCATGCCTATAGCCCTTTTTGCTTTAGCTACTTCCTTGCATGCTTTTAAAAATTATTGTTGAACTGGGGATACATTGTGACAGTTACAAAAATTCTTATAATATATCATAGTTGAATTCACTGCCCCCATATTCTCCTTTATCCCCCCCTTTCCCCCATTTCAGGAATAGTGCTATAGCTATTTTTCAGATAGGATCTTGCTTTTTGCATTGGGCTGGCATCAGACCTGGATCCTCCTACCTCTGCCTCTGGAGTAGCTAGGACTACAGGTGAACAACCACACTCAGCTTCTTGCTTGAGACAGGGTCTCACTAACTTTTTTGCCTGTGCTGGCCTTGAACTGCAATCCTCCTATCTCCACTTCCCAAGTAGCTAGGGGTTGGATATTGAATCTTTTTTTTTTGGCAGTACTGGGGCTTGAACTCAGGGCCTCATGCTTGTTAGGCTTGCTAGGCAGGTGCTCTACCACTTGAGCCACTCCTTCAGCCCAAAAGTTTCCTTCTTTTTTTTTTTTTGTGGCACTGGAGTTTGAACTCAGGACCTCATGCTTGCTAGGTAGGCACTCTACCACTTGGGCCACTCTGCCATCCTGGGTGGTTGAATCTTTTATAAATGCTAGCCTTCTATACACAAAAGCCATCAAACTACCGGGATGTGTATGGCAGAATGGGTTCTGTAAATTAGGGAAATCATGTGTAATCTTCTATAGATCTTTACTGGGGTCAGATTTGTTTTTTAAATGTTTCTATTTAAGTTTGCCACCAAGGCTACTTTTTGAACATGAATTACCATGGGATGAATTTTTTTGTCATGTAGCAGGAACTGGTATATGTTTAAAAACAAGAGACGTTTTTCTTACTGAAGGAGGATAAGTAGCAGACACCCTTGGTGGGTGGGCACTGGGAAATCCTCGTTCTGCAAATAATGCTCAGCTTTTCCAGGCAGTGAAATGCCACGCTGCTGGGTGATAAGGACTGTCTCAAGAGGCTTTGATTGGCAGATAAGCTTCAATAGAGGCACATGTAAGGTGACCTGTTTAGGGAGGCTCAGATATTACAAAGTACACTTGCAGGCTGATGAGTGGTGACCTTTCAATTAAGACCCAAGAAAGAGCTCTAGGAAGCGCTATGGACAGTGCCCTGAAGAGAACAACCTAGTTTCCTGCTATGCAGAAAAAAGGCAACAAAATGTTGGGCACTGTCAAGAAGGGGATTAAAAGACAAACAAAATAATTCTCCTTTTACAGAGAACTACAGGACATCTTCGTTGGTAAAGTTACATAAGCAGCTCTGATCTGCACATCTCAAGGACAGAACAGAGCCTAAGGGGAACAAAGAAGGGCAATTAAACTATCAATGGCAGGCTCCAAAATACAAAATAACAAAAAGTTTTTTTTTTCCAGTTTGACAATACAGAGGTAGCCAGGGGACAGGAGGCTAGTGCTGCTGAATGACTGAATGATGATTGTCTTGCCAAATCTCTTGAGCTAAGAGTCACCTTTGAAGCCTAAAGTTTTTATTTTTTTTAACAGTTCCACTTTGTTTATACAACTGCCAGTGTGGTGGCCAGTGCAGACAGGCTCCTTTGGGAAGTCCCTTTTTCCACCAGAGGATGGGAGAAATGTGAATGGGGGAAGGATAGAGAGTACCTCAATTCCCACTACCGGCCTTCAGTTAGGTTGACTGGTTGACTTCTAGTCATACTCACTTTCTCCGCTGCCACTGTCAGCAGTGAACTTGTGCCTGACCAATCTCAATTTTTATGAATTTGAGTTTCCTCTCCTTCATCCTCTTTAGGACAGGACTTTTCAACCCCAAAGGTACATAAACCAAACTGTCTGCCTACAAGTTTCTGTAATTTGACCTTAACTGCAGGGTTAAAAAACAAACAGATTTCTGGGCTGGGGGTGTAGCTCAGTGGTAAAGCTCAGCATGCATAAGGCCCTGAGTTCCATCCCCAGCACCACACACACACACACACACACACACACACACACACACACACACAAAATTTCTGACTACAATTTTTGTACTGTGGATAGAACTTAAGAATGCACGATAAAGCCTCATACCTGTAATCCTAGCTACTCAGGGGGCAGAGATCAGGAGGATAGCAGTTCAAAGCCAGCCTGGGCAAATAGTTCATGAGCCTCTATCTTGAAAAAACCCTTCACAAAAAAGGGCTGGTGGAGTGGCTCAAGGTGTAGGCCCTGAGTTCAAACCCCAGTAATACAAAAAAAAAAAAAGAAGAAGAATTAGGCAACACCTCAGTATTCACACCAGTGGAGGACAGGTCACTAATAAGGGAAAACAGAAATATACCTGGCTAGGTTAATGAAATCACACTTGCAGGTTTCTTTAGCTATAAACGTAGCAGACAAGGGATTCCCCTGGACAGTCTAAATGCTTTTCTTTGGGAATAGATAGCCTTAATCATAGTAGATAGCAGGTAAGATCAAATCTGGAGCATGGCTCTGGTCCATCTACTTGGCTCTCCCCAACTGCAGATGGCTACCTGACTAAATGAACAGTGTTGAAAGGCTATGTGGGCATGCAATGGTTTTATTTTTCAAAATGTTCCTTGAAAACAAGAACTCTGAGATTGGAGATCCTACAGAGAGGCAAAGTGCTTGCTACCAGCTCAGCATTAGTGTCATACCTTTCACAGATGTGATAATACTTCTCATCCTGTATGCCATCATGAATGGGCACATTCACACTGTAGTACCGTCCTTTCCCTAGGCCAACATCAGACACATCACCTGTTCCTGGAAAAGGGGAGCGATGTGATCAGTTATTAAGAACATGAGAACTGGAAAACTTAAAGGATTCTCTGAAAGCAACCCAGAAGACCAAAACAGTCACTTAGGAGAACAATTCTGAACTAGTCATGGTTCCTAAGGGAATGAAATTAAGAAAAATAATATAGAGAAGTAACAAGGGTAAATAATGTTGGGGGAAGCAGGAAAACCATAAAGAAACTAAAAAACCATCTTACTGGATGAAATAAAAAAATAAGAGATTAACTCCTTGGCTTGGGTTTTCATGCTTCTTAGGTTGATATAATATCAACAAATCATTGCAATTATCAAGATGTTAGGAGTTAATGTGGCATCTGACAGTATAGTAAGTGTAAGTGATCTGTCTGTTGACAGTTCATAAAAATCATTTGGAAGAAGAAACAGTGTTAATTGTCAGTCCTCTTGTCATTGTCACCTGAAGTGACTGTGTTAAAAATTTGCATAGAGTAATACTAATAAAGTATTGACAGCATGGAACTGTCTAAATATGATGTGTAGAAGAATTACAATATCTATTCATCAAATATATAGAGAGGGAGTACTCAGATCACTTGCCTGGGAAAAATCCAGGAGAAAATTTGTGCAGGGATACGGTCATGACTTTAGATGTGAAACTGAAGGCATCTTCTACACCTACCAGAGGAAAAAAAATGTCAGAAAGATCACTTCATATACGAAACTTCCATTTTCAACACCTGAATGTCTAGAAAGCAGCTGTGGGAAGAAGGGGACCTGAGAAGGCAGCAATAATAGAGCTAATGAGCTGAAGAATAAGAGCAACACAAACCCCTGGTGCCTGAACTCTGTAATTATGCATGAGGTAGAATTTTGGCCCCAAGTAAAGTTTGGGGGTACCTTTTCAAATCTGTGGCAAATTATATGTGAACTTCCTCTTTCCAAGCAATGGGATCTCTGGGCTCTCCTGACATCTGCTCTAAAAGGTGGGGAAAGGAGAGAGCCCAGAGCAGAAGCGTCACCAACAGAACTGAATAGAGGAAACCGGCACCAACTTGGAAGTTTCCTGGTCTGTTTTGGTTACGTGGTTTTAGCTAAATTCTTGGGATTTTTTTCAAAGAAGAATAATGTGATAATCCTTTAAAAAACACAGCCAACACACATTAGGCATTCTGCAGTGAAAACCTAGCTAATATAATATGGATTGTGTTATACATGCAGGTCACCCCAACTCCTGATTGTACTAAGTAACAAATAGTACATTTCTTCTGGCTAAAACATGCAACTGAAAATGGTCATGGCCTTGTCCCTTTATAGCAGCCTTACAACAGTTACAAACAGATGGCGAGTACTTTTGTAGAAAGGGTCTCCTTCCCATTTTAACAGAATCAGAAAAGGATTAGATACCTGGGAGATTAAAGATGAGATTTAAAGTAACCCTCGCAAGCCACTACTTATACGGTAACCAGACTATCCACTTCTACTCTTTTTCCTCTCAGAATCATATACAGTCATAGTATGGTTCAGATAATCACTCTGTAAAATGAAAGGACTATTAGAAAATTCAGGTACTTACCTATCCTCTTTTATATTTCAAACAAAGATATTGTCTCTGTGTTGACTTAAATGTATTCAGTCTTCATTAGAGGCCAACTGAGGCCTTAACAAAATATGAACTCTATTTGTATATAACAGGTATGTTTGAATTTCCCAAGCCTTACGTTTTGCCCTAGGGAGGTAGTTAAAACCAGTTAAAGGCTCTGGGCAGAAAGTATGATGTAAACAAAATAAAACAACACAAAATAAATGAAAATACCATTCCAACTTAGAAAGTGAAGTATTAAACAAGGATGCTTCATGAAAATCCTGGTTGTTTACCCATCCAGAAATGTACCAATTTATACTTCAACCAATTGTGTACATGAATTCCCATTTTCTCCCACTGAGGTAGAAAGAAAGGTCTTGCTCTAATTTGTAGTTCTCTGAATACTAAGGGATTGAACACTTTTCATATGTTTAGTGGACATTTGTATCTTTTCTCATGGGAAATACTATTAGTCACAGTTATAACATCACACTTAAAAAAAGACACAGTGAGAGATGTGGAGGATATGGTACTGGTGTGACAGAGAAGAGTGGAAGGATAGATGAAAGAAGGTGAGGATGGCAGGAGTGGCTAGAGAAGCCACCATAGGATGCTAGTGATGGAATTATGGGAGATTTAAAATAAACCAAATGTCTAAGAGTTTGGGGGGGGTCACTGGAAGGGAGGTGCTGAAGAGGGGAAATAAACTGAAATGAAACACACCATAAAAGTTGGCTGAAACAGGAAATTCTAAATGGTGTAGAAATAACACTGCGAATGGAAAGAATGGTTTCAGGTGACAGTCTTATTTCATTCTTATATGGTTCAACAGAGTTGGTTCTGTTTTTGAACTCTGGTACTAACACTCTGAAGTTCAGAATCATTCATTCATATGACAAATAGTTTAGTGAACCACTACTATATGCATGCTGTGGTTGGCTCAAGGAATTGTACAAGAGAGAAAGAAGTAAACAACTTGATCTCTCTACAGAGGAACTTAGTTTCTTTGGGAAGAGAAGACATAGACATATTTAAAAAATTAACAATACAAAACAATATATAATTAAATAGCAATCAGAGGACTTGAGAGGCAGAAGAGAACCCTGGCTGGAGTGGCCAGGGCAAATCTGCTACAGTTGAAACTTGAGCAATGGGCAGAACTTGAAGATACAAAAAGGAGGAGAAAGCGAAACTAAGTTAGGACAACACAAGGCAAAGTCAGGGAGTGCGGAATAGTGACACGTGCCATTGAGTAGAGTGGCCTGACAGCAAGTAGCGAGAGACAAAGCTGGAAAGATGAGGAGAAGCCTATTTGAGGTAAGTCTTGAAAGAGGGTAATGACTGCGGCCTCAGAATGATTAGAGTATTGCTACAGTGTAGATTCTTTGGTTCCATACCTGGCCTACTTACTCTGAATAGCTGATGAATGTGGCCTGGCAATCTGCATTTAAAAACAAACTTCCTCAGTTCACTCTGATGTACAATCGAGTTTGAGAACCATTGCTCAGGGGTCAGCAAATGAAGTGGCTAGATAGTAAGCATTCTAGGTTTTCCAAACTGCTATGGTCACTATTGTGCAATGGTGCCTGTGTTGTGAGCACGTGCACACACACACACACACACACACACACACACACACACACTTTTATAGATACTTTTACAACCCTTTAAAAATGGGAAAAACATTCTTAGCTCACTGGCCATATAAAAATAAGCTATGGGTCAAATGCTACCCCTTGTTAAAAAATAGGTGATAAGGAGCCTTTGAAGGTTTTGAGCAAGGTTATGTCTTGCCTGGTGGAATATTCAGAAGTTCAGTGAACATGGTTCTCAAAGTAGTATGTTGGTTCTTTTAACCCTTTTCTCTCCTCTGTTACCTTTAATTTTCTGTCACCAGTCCATGTTTCTAGCATCCATGCAGGCAAAGTACTTTGGAGAAGCCCCCTAACCCCAAAATTCCTTCCTTTTTTTTCTGTTTTGGTAGCAGAGGTAACCCTAATCTAAGACATATGTTATTCTTTCCCTCCCTTATTCCTTGATTATGTTAGTCTATCTTAAATAAAAAAGACCCTGGAAATAGGGAAGCGGCAATCACTAATGTGGGAAAGGGGAGGGATACCCTTAATTAATTTATTGGATAAGTGTTATTAAATGCATACAAATGCTTTGTGTCACAGAGAGAATTTCTTTTGTTTTTTAAATTTTTACTAGCATAAATTAATTGTACAAAGGTGTTTCACTGTGACATTTACATACATGCATATAATTACTTTGAGGATTTCTTTTTTTATGGGACTGAGGTTTGAACTCAGGGCTTTGTGCTTACCAAAGCAGACACTCTACTACTAGAGCCACACCTCCAGTCCATTTTGCTTGGTTATTTTGGAGATGGGGTCTTACAAACTATTTGCCCTGGCTGACCTCGAACCATGATCTTCCAAATCTCAGCCTCCCAAGTAGCTAAGATTACAGGCAAGAGCCACTGGCGCCTGGCTTGAGGATTTCGTAATGAAACAGAATGTGGCAACTATACCTGGAGGTCTACATTCTAGGTGGAAAATACATAGGAGGCTTGTATAAGTCCTTCTAAGTGCAGTCTTCTAAGAGAGGATTAACAGGTTAAGGAAAATTGTTAAGAGATTCTTCTATAACAGGCCAGGCATGGTGGCTCAAGCCTAGTTACTCGGCAGTGGAGATCAGGAAGATCCCAGCTCAAGGCCAGTGCAGGTAAGAAGTTAACAAGACCCAATATTCAGCGGTGGCTAGGCATGGTGGCACATACCTGTCATCCCAGCTACATGGGGAAGCACAAATAGATGGATTGCGGTTCAGGCCAGCCTGGGCATAAATGTGAGACCCTATCTTAAAAATAACCAAAGCAAAAAAAAGTGGTAGAATGACTCAAGTGGTTGAGTGCCTGACTGGTAAGCACAAGGACCCGAATTCAACCCCTAGCAGCACCACACACACAAAAAAAAGTTAGGGAAGATACCCTGTGTTTACATATGCCTATTTAGTTTGTTGTTGTTGTTGCTGGGGATTGAACCCAGGCCTTGCACATGCTAGGCAAGCACTCTACCATTGAGCCACGCCCCCAGCCTAGGACCATACAGTTTAGCAACACAAAGTGGCATTGATGCTGATCAGTATGCTAGTTGGTAGCATTGGTACAAAATTCAGAATACTAGTCCTTCATATACCTGTTCGATCTTAAAGTAATAAAGGGGGGGGTGAATGTGATCAAAGTACATTATATAGATGTATAGAAATATCACAATGAAACCCTTTTGTACAATTAACATATGCTAGCAAAAAATAAAAGTAAATTTTGAGAGAAGCACCAATGAGAAAAGACAAGACTGGCAGCTCTAAACACAGATTCCCCTTAGAAACCATGGAAAGGGCCTCCAGCAGGTTCCTGAGCACTGGAATAAACCCTAGGTAAGAGTTCCGCTTTTTCCCATTCTCTACTATAAAGGCTTGCCACAGGAAGAGAGGGAGAGGAAATGACAGGAGCCTGGCTTGGGAAGCAAAGCAGGAAGTGCATCAGTTAGGAAGTGCATCAGTTAGAGGAATCTCTCCACCACCTACTTTAGAAATATCAATTAGGAAAATTGCAATTGCAACAGGCATTTCTCCTTTTACCAGTTGCCTAGAAGTAGCTTTACTGATCAAAACCTGCTGTCCTAGCAGCGAAACATTTTTGAAATTGAAGGGCTTACCATCTCCATGGTGCAGATCCAAATCCACATAGAGAATACGGTCAAATTTCCGTCGCAATCGTAATATTCCCAGGACAGCATCATTGAGATAACAAAAACCAGATGCTTCATCTCTGCAAGAAAACAAGTTGCTACAGCCAACAGTCAAAAGGCAGTCCAAGGGAGTCTTTACAGCCAAGGATCTAACCCTTGAGATGTGGTCCCTTAAAGTTCCCCCTTCTTTTAAGAAAAACAGAAATTCACCAAAAAGGATTGCATAGTAAAGGGCCCAGAATGATCAAGGAATGAAGTGTTTTGGTAAAATAAATATCTAGGTTGATTGGTAACATTTTCCATTCAGGATCCCAGATTTTCATAGCATTAAAATGTTGTAACTATATCGAGCAAGACAAAACCTTTCTCTAATGATTTAGGAGTCACTTTGAAAAAATTGTAGTTCTCTGGGGTCATCATGTTGAATGATGATTTTTGCTCACAGAACTGTAAGAAAGCTAGACTGTAGATGAGGCCTTAAAGACCATCGTGTAGAAGATGATCCATTCTGGATACTCTGTATAGACCCTATGACATAACCAACAAGATTTTTTAAATATTTTTAATATGTTTTGGTACTTGTTGCTCACAAAAGCTGAGGGGACATACAAATGCATAATCTCTTGGGTAGCATAACGGGGTTGACTTTCTGTAATGTAATCATTACAGTGAAGACCGAAGCAGCCTTTTCTAAAGTGATTTAAAAAAATCCCTCTCACAAAAAACTGTCGTCACTGACTTCACTCGTGTCCTTTAACTTTTTTGCTATTGGTACTATTGTGTTGCTTTATTCTCTTATCAATGTTCACTTGCTCTTTTATTATGCTTTCACTAAGCCTTACTGATTAGATGTAAAGGAACATTTTTTATCATCAGGAGTGTATTATATAACTTATTTAAATGTAAAGGAACATTTTTTTATCATCAGGATTATATTAGAACTTATTTTTAAGGCCTCTTCCCAGATGCTGCAATTTTTTTTCACTTCTAGAGACACGTCAAATATTCAGCCCATTTTTCCTACATTTGCCCTGAGATTTGATTTGAAACCGAATTGTAGGCATGAACAATGTTTAAGATGGCATCTTTGCCACTGTGAGAAACCTTTTCAGTACCTACACAATGCATAAGCTTCTACATGAAATCTCTTGTAGAAGAGAGCTCTACCAATGCCCTGGCTCCTAGGCTGAATCGGTGAGGCAGGTGCGGTGGTGAGCAGGAAGTGGCAAGGGTATCAGTAGGCCTGCGCTTCAGTCGAGGGAACCTCAGTAACCATCTAGCCAGAGAACAGCTTGCCTTTATATATGCAACCGGAAGAAACCAAGCAGAGAAAAGAAATAGTCCATTCATAAATTCCCTGTAAATAAGAATTAAAAATGTGACTTTGAAAGTTCTTGGATATAAATACTATTTTCCAATTATAAAAAGTTTACACTTAATAAGTGTACTGTCTTAGTACATCAAAAAAGAGCTAATTAGTTCTCCTGCTGAACAATAACTTTTGGGTAGTTTGGACAGAATACTGTTAAGCAAAAAGAGGAAGAAGAATTCAAACCAGTATAAGACATACTTCCCTCAGGAGCCTACAATTAAGTTAGGGAGACCAGTCATACACACAGAAAACAAAGACAAAAATCCAACCATTCAAACAAAAAAAGCAAGCAGAAAGAATACAGCATTCTGTAGGCAAAACTGACACAATGAGATGAGCACACTCATCTCATTGACAACAATGAATTTTATCTGAGCCCCATACTTCTAGAAAGCAGTGATGCTTAAGAAGTTCCCACCTCCATCCCTTTGTGTTCTGAGGGCTAACCAAAAGGACTGACCACATTGCCCTGGCATATTCCAGAGTAAGACCCATCCCCATCCTTCTTCATGTCTCCTGTAAGAGTCTCAGATAACTTTCTTGTTTACCCTTGTCTATAAAACTCCTAGCCCCTTCCTTTAAGATGTTCCCCATTAATGAACATTCTCCCCACGGCAATAGCCTGAATAATGATGATGATGCCTGTACTTCCAAAACTCTTTTACATGTCTTTGTGTGAATATGTAATATTTTCCTACCTCTGGATCTATTACCAAATTAGATTATAAAAAATAATCTCTTAGGCTGGGCACTGGTAGCTCACGCCTGTAATCCTAGCTACTCGAGGCAACCCCAGGTAAATAGTTTGAGAGACCCTATCTCCAAAAAATCCATCATAAAACAGGACAAAAGGAGTGGTTCAAGTGGTAGAGTGCCTGCCTAGCAAGCAAGAGGCCCTGAGTTCAAACCCCAGTACCACCACCAAAAGAAAATCTCTTAGGACAAACATGGTGGTACGTTTGACTTCCTGTGTTTATATTTTAAATATTTTATTGTCACTTTGTTAGATCAGAGAGCCAAGTATTGTTTTTCAATAACCTATCATCCTATCTTAATCAAGTCTCAGAAGGCCTATGGAAAATCATGAAAGATTTGCTCTTTCACCTTGTAAAAAGAGAGGCACTAGCGATCATTAGGTTTGTTTGATATGTACTATTGAGGAATTGCATGGGAAGAGCTGTTTGCCTTTCCTAGCTTAAATTGGTAAAATGTTACTAACATAAATATTTCAGAAATTGTATGTTGCATGGGAAGTTCCTATAGATTAATCCATGTCCTCCCTGGCTGTGATATATTCTAGTTGTCAGAGTCCAGCTGCTGTCGTGTCAAATATAAGACAACTACAGTACAGTAGTCCTCCCTCATCTGTGGAGGACACATTCCAAGACCCCCCGCAGATGCCTGAAATTGTAGATAGTACGAGATCCTGTATATACTATTTTTTTCCTAGACATATACCTATGACAAAATCTAATTCATAAAAGAGATTAACAACAATAACTACTAATAAAATAGAACAATTATAAAATATACTCTTTTTTGTGGTACTGGGACATGAACTCAGGGCCTCCACCTTGAGGCACTCCACCAGCCCTTTTTTTGTGATAGGTGTTTTCAAGATAGGGTCTTGTGAACTATTTGTCCAGGCTGGCTTTGAACCTCGATCCTCCTGATCTCTGCCTCCTGAGTAGCTAGGATTACAGGTATGAGCCACTGGTGCCCAGCAAAATATACTCTATGAATGTGGTCTCACTCTCTCTCAATATCTTAATGTACTGTACTGAACATAATTAACCACAGGGAACTGAAATTGGAGACAGTGAGACATGGATAAAAGGAAATTATATTTTCAGTCATAATTTCAGTCTTTTTAAAATGTTTACTTGATATCAACTTTGATTCTTGATTTTGAATCTAGCATCTTTCGAGTCATTAGTTTTTAATTGGAGATTCACATCACTTACCTGCTGAATTTGTGTTGCTATACAATGTTTAAGACATATTCCAGATTGCTGAATCTCTTTACTTGATATTCCTGATATATTTTGGGTATTTTTTAACTATATGCTTGATGTATTCATGGTATATCATGTCAGGATTATTATGTGTTATATCTGGGTCTTTTTCTCTATAAAGATTATGTGCACACATTTTTATAAATTAGACATAATATCCTTTCTTCTTTGAAAATAGGTTAATCATTATGTTTACAGATATTTTGTCTAAAATTTTTTGGATTGGCTTTTATCTTGTTTTACATGCCACAGAAACAACTACATTTCCTTGCCAGTTGCATTATTATTCTTGTAATGAACTCTCACCAGATTTTTTCCCTTTTGAAAATGATCAGTAATAGGGTAATCACAGCTATTGTAAGTCTTTTGTCATCTACAGATTGCCTTTTATGTTTTACTCCAATGCTTCTCTGAAAGCCCCTGCAATCAGCTACAAGCTAGAGGGCTTCAACTTTAACAAAGGACTTTCTCAGAGCCCCATGGAAAAGGACTAGGTCAGGGACTTTTGTGTACAGGCTTCTGTTGGTATAGTTTGCTTTTTTTTTTTCTCTTTTTACAGTGTTGGGAATCAAGCCCAAGCAGGGTCTCATGCATGCTAGACAAGCACTCTACCACTGAGCTCCATCCCCAACCATGCTGGGATATGTTTAAACAACCTCGAGGCCACACTAGTAAACTGAGTCAGGATTTTGAAAACTTTAGTTGGGAAGCAGGGGCGGGGGCTGTGAATAAACTGCTAACCCAAGGTTGATTGTACAAGAAGTAATTACATAGACCTGATAGAACTAATGAGGAATGGTTTTGTTTGGTATAGTGTTGATGCCTTAATATTCTATTTTCTGGATGCACATGGAACTCATTTCTCTCTTACACTATCTAATTATTTAGTGGACTGTGCTTTTGTAAAGAGAAATGAAACATTTGTAAATGGAAAAGTCTATTCTTCCTGCTCAATGAGTAGTCTTATTTTCTGTTTTTGTAGTTGTGAGATGGAACACACAAGGCCTTGTGCATGCTAAGCTTATGCTGTACCTCTGAGCTATATCTCCAGATCCAAGTATTCTTATTTTCATAGCAATGTCATTATCTGCATAGGTTCAATAAAAATCTGTCTGTCGTCCTTGTTACCAGGACATGATTAAAAACATTGGTATGTAACCTAGGCCTTGCCTGGAATGTCACATTTGTGAGTGATTCTCATTGAATCAGATATGATCAGACACTCAAGGAACGAAGACTGACTTTATGAAGCCAATTCATACAAAGCCCTTTTGGGAAAATTTTCCTGGTACCTGGCTTGCAGTGTTCCCTGCCTTACAAGTAAAGAAGATTACTTCCAGGCAAGACCAGAAATCTTAGGACATTTTGGGAACTCAAGAAGCGTGTCATTCTCTCGGATTTATAGGTACCATCAGAAGAACCTTCACTTGGCTTCCTAGCTTTAACAAGCTTTTAAAATTCCAAAATAATATTCCTTATGAAAACTTTTAGCAAAGCAAATTTAAGACGGTCCATGCAGCAAATTACCATTCTCACTGTGTCTATTTAAATAATCAGGCTGACTCTAGTAGGACCTGATTTTTACTTTTTAACTGAGATAGGGTCTCGCTGTGTAGCACAGGCTGGTCTTGATCTCATGATCCTCCTTCCCCAGCCTTCCCAGTGCTGGTGCTTGGCTCCTATTTTTAAACATTTTTTATTGAGGTAAAATTGACCATTTAAAGGGTACAATTCAGTGGTATTTAGTGGATTTACAATACTGTGTAAGTGTCACCTGAACCTAGTTCCAAAACATTTTCACCAACTCCAAAGAAAATCCTGTGCTCATTAAACATCCCCTGACAACCACCACTCTGCATGTTTTCTCTATGGATTTAGCTATTTGGGATATTTTATATAAATGAAATCATATAATATGGGACCTTCTGTGTCTCGCTTTTATTTAGCACAGTGTTTTCAAGTTTCATCCATGTTGCAGCATGTTATCAGTGCTTCATTCCCTTTTATGGCTGACCAAAATATTGCATTTTATATATGTGCACACATGCATTTCGTTTATCCATTCATGATGAATATAGATAACATCTGTGTTGTTTTTCCTTTTGCTATTATGAATAGTGCTGCTAATTTATTTGAGTGCTTGTTTATAATTCTTTTGGATACATGTAGAATTGCTGGGTCATAAGGTAATTCTGTGTGTAACTTTTTTGTTTTGTTTTTTGAGACAGTCTCGAAATGCAGCTTAGCCTAGTCTCAAATTTATTATGTAGCCCAGGCAGGCTTTGAACTCGCAATCCTCCCATTTCAGGCTCCAGAGTGCTGGGATTACAAGGGTACACCAGTATGCACAGGTATATCTGAAGAATGAGCAAGCTGTTTTTTACAGGTACATAGGTTCCAATATCTCCAGACCATCAGCAACACTTCTTAGTTTCCAGGTTGTCACCACTGTTGAATTCTAGCCACCTTAGTATATGTGAAATGGTAGCTCGTTGTGGATTTGATTTGTGTTTCTCTGATGACTAATGGTGTCAAGCATCACTTCATGTACTTGTTGGCCATTTGTGCATTTCTTTGAAGAAATGTATTCAAGTCCTTTGCACATTAAAAATTTTTTTTGAATGATGGAGGGGGTGAATTCAAGTACGATATACTTGATATACTATAAGAACTTTTATAAACGCCACAATATACCCCCAGCACAATAATACAAAAAGAAAAAAATCAAAACAGAAAAGAAAAAAAAAGAATGTACCTGAGAGGCACTTAATGAAAGTCACTAAGCAATGGAAAGCAATGGAAATCAAATAAATATTTATTCAATAATAAAAAATATTTTTGGTGGTACTGGTATTTGAACTCAGGGCCTCATGCTTGCTAGCAGGCCACTCAGGCCATGGCCCTGATTCTAAGGTTTTCTTTTTAGTGTTTTGCTTACTACTGTAAGAGTTCTTTTTTTTTTTAAATTTTAGTACTCAGGGGCTGAACTCAGAGCCTTGTGCTTGCTAGGTAGGCTCTCTATCGCTTGAGCCACACCCTCAACCCAAAGAGTTTTTTTTTTTTTTTTTTTTGGCAGTACTGGGTTTTGAACTCAAGGCCTCACACTTGCTAGGCAGGTGCTCTACCACTTGAACCATTCCACCAACCCTAAAGAGTTCTTTATAAATTCTGGACACCAGGTTATTATCACATATATGATTTTCAGATCATATATCAGATATGTACTATCAGATATATATTTTCTCATTCTGTAGACTCTCTTTTCATTTTCTTGATGTCTTTTGATACAAAAAGTTTTAAACTTTGATGAACTCAAATTTATCTATGTTTTTTTTTTGTTTGCTTGTTTTTTCATTTTTCTTTTATTATTCATATGTGCATACAAGGCTTGGTTCATTTCTCCCCCCTGCCCCCACCCCCTCCCTTACCACCCACTCCACCCCCTCCCGCTCCCCCCGCTCAATACCCAGCAGAAACTATTTTGCCCTTATCTCTAATTTTGTTTCTATGTTTTTTTTTTATTTGTAAGTCTAGTGTTATTTTGAGATGAAGAACATTTCTTAGATGGGAGTATAACTCAGTGTAGAGTGTTTGCCTATTCATGCATGAATACCTGGGTTTTATCCTCAGCACCTCAAAAAAGCATAATCTTTGTTTGAGATCAATCTTTGGTCAAAGGGGGTAACTACAGAGAGAAATTTTGTGTTTCAAACAGAAAACTGCCTCATGTATAGCATACCATTCCAGGTTATCAGAGTCTAGCCCTGCTCATTGTCTTTGAGCTATTTTGCACCTGTTTATTTATAAACTTCAGGTTACTGATGGGTATGCAAATTTTGTCATGTCTGGTAGAGATACAATCCCTCTCCTTCCCTTCTGTAGAAAAAAATCAAACTGGATCCTATTACCTTGCCTAAGTTGTCCATACCTTACCAATTTTTCAGTTCTTCCACTTTTCTTTAATATCTGGTTAATATCCTCCAAACTAACCTTTCCAATTTTTATTACTCCCACCTGACTTGGAGTCATGGAAGACTAAAACCTGACTGCTCAAATCCAAATCATGACTTAAGGTTGCCCTCTTCTCCCGGATCTCAGGTAGCCCTTCAAACTTAGGCCCCACAATTTGATGCAAACCTAGATGAACACAGCGCTGCAACTGACCATTCATGAATGCAAGGTTCCCTGAACAAGCTGATGCCTACACCACTAGGCCACATTCGGAAAAATGTTTGGGCCATGCACACCCTTTTAGGAGATGTAACCAAGACTATGGACAAACCACATGGCCAAGAGAGCCCCCCCATCCCGAGTTTCATGAGGGGGTGCTAGGAAATGGAAAGAGTTTTCTTCTACTGATGTCTTAGAATCCACTGGACCAGCTACCTTTGAGGTTCAGTTTGGGGCTTGATTCTTTAATATAACCTTCCATATTAATGCTTCTTTTGTTCATTTTATTTTTATTTGGTTTCTTTTGTAGATTAGGGTCTTGCTATATAGCCCAGGTTGACCTAGAACTCACTGTGTAGCCCAGGCTGGCCTAGAACTCATGATCCTCCTGCCTTAGCTTTCCAAGTGCTGGGATTACAGATATGTACTATTATACTCTTGTTCATCCTGCTTATAAGATGCCTGTTTCCAGGACTCTAAAGCTATGGATCTTTGCTATGACCTCTCAACAGATGGTTTAACTGGTGTTTTACAGGAATAGCAACAATGAAAGCCCTTGAGAGACTGTTTCTTTCTTTTCTGTCTTCTTTTTTTTTTTGTGGTACTGGAGATTGAACTCAGGGCCCAGTGCTTGCTATGCAAGAGCTCTACCACTTGGGCCATGTCCCTAGCCCTTTTGCTTCTAGTTTGTTTTTCAGATAGGCTCTTATGCTTTTGCCCAGGCTGGCCTCAGAATACTATCCTCCTACCTCTGCCTCCTGAGTAGCTGGCATACAGCATGCACCATCATGCTTGGATTGCTTTTGAGACAGAGTCTTGCTAACTTTTGCCCAGGCTGACCTCAGATCACAATCCTCTTACCTACAGCCTTCTGTGTGTAGCTGTGAGGACAGGCTGCACCACCATGCCTGGCTTGTTTTGTTGAGGTGGGGGTCTCACTAACTTTTTCCCTGGGCTGGCCTTGAACCACAGTCCTCCTGATCTCCACCTCCTGAGTAGCTGGGATTACAGGCATGAGCCACCATGCTTGGCCCTAATTATGTTTTCTTATTTTGACCTTTTTAAGACTTGGTCACTTTTAGCATTAGCATGCCCTCTTATAATTCTGTGCTTTCATTACAGCTATTTTGGAAACAGCTGGTCACATAGTTTGGTTTTCCCCTTTGTTGGTTTATAATAAAAATAACAGCCAACATTTCTTGATTGATTACCCTGTGCTAAGTGCTTTCAATATAGATAACGGAATCAATTTTCACAGTAGCCCTGTAAGCTAGGTACTGTTATTTCCATTTCACAAATGAGGAAACTAAAGCACAGAAAAATTAAGAGAAACGAAATAACTTGTCCAACGGCACATAGCTAGGAAGTGGCTGAGCTTTAATTTGACTTGTGTTAAGCTACCTTATTAAGATCTGACTGACATGCAAAGAGGTGTACCGCACATGTATACAACTTGATGGGTTTGGAGATAAGTATACCTGTGAAACCATCACCCAAATCTACGCCATAAACCTATCTATCATCTTCAAAAGTTCCTTCCTATCTTCTTTATTTATTTCTCATTTGTGACAAGAACACATAATATAAGACATCCTTTTAGCAAATTTTAATACAGCGTTGTTAAGTATAGGATGCTGTACAGAAGACCTCTAAGTGTCCACCAGTGGATAAACTAAAGAAAATGTGGTACGCACAAAGAATGGAATATTATTCAGGTTTTAAAAAGAAAGAAGTCCTGCTGATGGCAACAATATGGATGAACCCGGAGGACAGTGTGCTCAGTGAAATAAGCCAGACGCAAGACAAACACTGTGTGACACCACTTACATGAGGAAATGAAAATGGCCAAACTCATTCTATCTGCATCTCCTGCTTTTCTTTCTTTCTTGTAATTTCTTCCACTTCTCCTTCATGCCTATTCCCCTTTCACCATTTCAACCTTGTAATGTTGGTGAAATTAGTCTACTTTCTGTTTTCCCTTAGCTCTCCACTTGTCTTTCCCCATTTACTACTTTACTACTTTTTCTGTTTGCCTCTGTCTCCTTAGCCATTTCTTGAGTGTTTAGATTTAAGAACTTTTGGTAACTAAAATGGCCAACCCCGAGTCCTTTTAGTAGCAAGTTTTATCTCCAGATTTCTTCCATAATCATCAAACTTTGATCATTTTGGTTTTCATGTTATTTGAATTTGAATTTGAGATAAATGGTTTAAAAAAAATTCCCCCAAAGGCAAATAAATGACCCAAGGGCCAGATCTGCATAAACTGACTTTGCAGTGGTTCTTGCCTCTCTAAACCAAATTGAGCTACTGACCCAGCATCTTCACGTTTAGAATTTATACAGGACTATGTGTGAAAAATGATTAGGTCAAGAAGGCCCTACTTGTTAATAGAAACAAATTCATTAACTATGTGACAAAACTACCGAAAATGTTACCCAGGAAATAAAATAAATGTGACAGCAGCATCATTCTTCACAGTTCTCACCCTTTCTACACCATTTGGCATGATAGGCAGTCACTACTGAAGACAAATGAAGGCTTGGGAGCGCAGAAACAAGGTAATATTTGCTTGAAAATGAATCAAGAAAACTGACTATGAATCCATTATGGTAAGAAGTGCCAGAAGGCCTCTTTTTTCCCTTCGGATAATTATATCATCCAATGTAAATGGATATAAAAAGTATAAACGGTTCTTCTATTTACCACTCAGAATCTTAGATAGCTCATAACAGAATTTAACATTTGTACTACAGAAGAGTAGTAGTGGAAAGTTGATCCCTGAAATTGCTGTAAGATTAATTCAGCTAGGGAATGAATTGAGAAGACAGGTCATGGTGAACTAAATTCACTGGTTGTTTCCTTTGGATGTGCAAGGTCTCATTTTTCTGGCTCTAGGCTTCTGTTGCACATTTTTCTCAGATGACATAGATAGAATTTTCCTGCTCTAAAATTTGTTTTTATTCAGTGAAATGTAGGCTAGCAAATCAAAATCTTAAGTTGGCTAGTGAATTTTTCTTTCATGCACTCGGCTTATAAAGAAAGAAGCAAATAAGAAGAAACCAAATTGGTTCCCAAAGCCATTTCCTGGAGTGTACCCCAAGTTCAACCCAGGTTTAGTCAATATCCTCCAATGATCTTGGCCAACAGAATTCAAAGGGCAGAAATACCACAAAACTCTCAGGAAGAGCAGAAAGATTCAAGTCCAGTGTCCAGTGCTTATTAAGGCAGAAATGTATAGTTATATTCAAAAAAGAGGTCAGAGAACCCCCAAGAAAAGAGTCCGTCTGGTATAATGGTCCACTAAGCCAGAAAACTACATTAACCAGAACACTTCATTCCCTGAGCATTCTGGTTAATTGAAAAGATTCCTTTTTATTTTAAACTCTAGTTTAATGAACTCAAAAACCTCAATGGTTTAGCCATCAATACTAGGGACAGGAAGTAAATGTACTCTCTTCCTCCACAAGAAAAAGAACACTTTCAGTATAATTGATGGAAATCGTGCTTGCTCAACCTTTCTAGTTAGAGAAAACACAAAGGCACCGGCAAAGCAGCTGGCTTGGGCTTAATATGTATGTATTTGTATTCCTGCACCTGGTCCTGGCACACAAGACAAGTGTCTCAAGAGCCAAAGACTTTATGTGCTCGCATCCCCAATCTACGTAAGAGACCCCATTAAATTGGCTAGAGTTTATATTAGGTGTGGATAGGAGGAAATGCCATTGTGTTCCATGAACTGATCACAACCTCTGTGGAGTTAGGGGAAAGAGAAGAGTGGTTGCTTCAAAAATGCAGGGAATATCTTCAGACTTTCTGGCTTTGGTTGACGCAAATTTAGGGTAATTTTTGATATACTAGGAAAACATGTGAATGCTCCTCAGCTCTTCTTTTAGCCATAGGACTACACCCTCCATCAAATTTGACCACTTTATTTATAAATTGTTCAAAAAGTCTCATCAGGTTATATCTACACTAAGTACAATGGTAGGTAGAAAGAACACAGGTTGAATAGCCTTTATCCAAAACACTTGGGACCCGAAGTATTCCAGATTTCAGAGTTTTTCAACTTCGAGGATATTTATGTAGACATTAGTAGTTCAGCGTTCTTAAACCTAAAATCCAAAATCCTAACTACTTTGAAATGTAAAACTTTTTCAGCATTCTTTCTAGTTTTTCTGCAACTAGCTAAATTCTGAAAGATGACTCATAATAATTTTATGCATATGTTCTACTCACCATCTTTCACCTATAGATTGTGACTTCCTAGCAAAATGGTAATTATTTCTATTTTATGGAAAGGAAATTTCATGAGTTACATCATATTTACAAGGGAGGTGTCAAACCAAAGGCAGAAAGACCCAGGGGCCTTGCATGGTATTCATAGACTGAGTTGAACAAGGCTTAGGATCTTTGTGGCCACTCCTATGAGCCCAGAGATATAATGTCACCACGAGTCTCTATCAGTACTGTGGCCTCATGATGCCCCAGTCTCAGGCAGTCTGCCTAAGAGGGGACACTGTATGCAAGCAACCTGCAGGTAGATGCTGAGGACTCCATTCCAAGCTCTGCTTTTGAGCTAGGGGTTGTGTAAGATGTCCTAGATCCTGCACTTGAGGTGTTTATAATTGAGTTGAATTGAGTTGAAGGACAAAACGAATACCCATCCCTAAAAAGCGTAAGTAAGTGTTCAGTGATATGGTATGGATTCTGCTTTTCTCAGTCTTCTGCTACCTTCCCTAACCTGGAAGCTTGAGAGGCTCAGAGGACTTGTGGTCTCGTATATTTTCAGCTCCACGTGAAGTAGGGAAGAAAAGGCTATTCTTTAACAACTGAGAAACAAAATGATTTATGCCCTAGGGAACTTAAAGAGATTGACAGATGGTGCAGAGCTCCTATACTCCTTCTATTGCCCCCTCCTCCATTAGATAAATTTTTTTCATGGTTCTGGGGTTTGAACTCAGGACTTCATGCCTAGCGAGCTAGGCAAGGTGCTCTACCTCT